TTTCATGGTGCTTGGCGACTGGGCGTCATTCAGTCGTTCAGTCTCTTTTGTGCCTTTAGGCTTAGGTAATTCTGTCTCCTGCATAAATTCACCGAAGGAAGTGCAAACTATAGTTTTTTCTTCTCTGATATCTTCTGATTTATTTCGTTGCGAAATCCAAGACACACGAACGAATGAAGAAACGAACGACACAAATGTCACGCCCGATACGACAAACACGTCCGATACGACAGACTGACCGACACGGCAGACACGTCCGATACGATCGACACGACCGACGCGACAGACACGACCGACACGACATACACAACCGACTCGACCCACACGACCGATGCGATGCGATAGACACGACCGACACGACAGACACGATCGACACGACAGACACGACCGACGCGACAGAGACAACCGATACGACAGACACGACCCACACGACCGATGCGACAGACACAACATACACGATCGACGCGACAAAGACGACCTACGTGACAGAAACGACCGATACGGCAAACACGTCCGACACGACCGACACATCCAATTCTTTCTTGCCCCTGTAGCAATATCTTGAAATCTGCCCTGAAAACCCCACAAAACCGTCATAACCTTTAAATTGTTCTCGCCTGTAATATTTTTCATAATTTTACCTGATAAATAGTTATTCACCATACCCAAAATTCAGTTAAATTAGAGTATTTTCGCAACAGTTTCCTATAATAATTTGTATTTATTATAACTTCGTTCACTGAAAACGTGACAAACTGCGGTTATTTTGTATCTAACAATACATCATCGATCTTTTATGTCACGTTTTATATTGATATCTAGACAATTCGGGTTCTATAGAAATAGTTGCGAAACTAATTATTACTTACGAAAAGACATTCTGTAGATTAACACTGTCTTTCTTTAATCACACTAATATAATAAATGTGAAAGTTCCTTTGTTTGTATGTTTGTCCGTCAATCACACTGAAACTATTGGACGAATTTTGATGAAATTTGGTATACAGGCACGGTTTGGTATGGGCTGACTTAGGTGACCGGATAGTTTTATCCCGATTAAATGATCCCATGGGATAAAACAGGAATCATATTCTACGCGGATGACGTATAAAAGTGTAGGTAGTTATTGAACTACAATAATGTTCATCATTTTAATAGTAAACACTCCTACATACATAGCAAAACCTCACTGTCCCGTGTCGTTTGATGGAAACCACATAGCGCTACTTAGGACTTGGTTCTACCCCAGACAATTTTAAAACCTTTCGAAATCAACATAGTACTAACCCAATATACTTTCGACAGGTGGGTCAAACGAAACGACATTTTCTTAAAATGTTGAAGAGTGCATACAAGAGAATATCTAGAAAACACTGCAAGATGTTATTTATGCGGGATACAAATGATACGGTACGATTATAATAATACAATAGCTATGTAACTTGACCGTATGTAGGTGTAACAAAGTCATTAAAAAAAACAATATGGCTACCGTACTTTTTGGTAGACTATTTTAATTAGGGCAATATTTTGTTTTGGCGCCTTTTTGTAAGACCACAGACTATGTACCCGGCGGCATTTTTCTTTAGTTGTAGTTTTAAGTATAAGCAGGGTAGGTAGGTTACGGTTACGGATTAAATTACCTATTTGGTTGTTTTAAACTTATAAGGTAAAGCCATACACAGTTACGCTAGAAAAGTAGATGGCGGGAAAAGTTGATTTAAATTATTTGTGGACAGTTGCATTTATTAGTTTGGTTGCGTAATTATTTCGTAGTGATGGTGATAGATAGTGCCTGGAATATTCTAGAAAAACATGCGGAAGAAAAAGCGGTAAGTGGTGGATTGTAATCGTGATTTTAAAAGTGGTGGACCTGTTCTTGTAATTTAGTTTTAATATATTCAGTGTTACTTTCTCTGACTGATATTGAGATGTAGGGTATTCATTCAATCTATCTTTGTTCTGCAGAAGAGGGCCATTCGATCAATTTATAATCTTAGTCCGAGGTACTCTCTCAGGGAACTATTTAAAGAAATTAATATAATGACGGTTGCTTCTCAATACATTTATGAAAATTTAGTATATGCTCATAAAAACAAAAGTTTATTTAAAAAACATAGTGATATACATAATATAAACACGAGAAATAAAGACAAATATGTTGTTCCCACTACTAGACTAAAGAAAATAAGTGGTTCGTTTAGATGTCAGAGTATACGCTTTTACAATAAGATTCCCAGCCATATCCAAAATTTGAGTCTAAATAAATTTAAAAATGTCATTAAAGATAAATTTTATAGTAAAGCTTATTATAAAATAAAAGACTACCTAGATGATAGTCTGGCTTGGGAATAAGCTGCTGTAACGTCCACACAGGTCATGTTGACATGTTTGTAACATATAGTTACATTTCTTTTTTTATATGCAATTTGACATT